GCTCGCTTGCTGATATCCCGCGGCGTCGATCCCAAGGACAACCCTGAGGTCCTTTCGAGAGCCGTGCTCCAAAACAACGTCACCCTAGGCACGACACACCACCGCACATAGCGTTCGTTACCTACAGAACTCTGACACCTCACACATACCACACACCACACACCACACACACACACACACACAATGCTGCATGCTTGCCTGTCGCGCATCACAGCCCAGCTTTTGCTGGATCACGGAGCCGGACAACACGTCAATGTGGTCTCCGGCACCGGAACCCGGGTGTCGCTGCCGCTGCATGTCGCCGTGACGAAGGGCTACCACGAGATGGTGAAGCTGCTGCTGGCTCACGGAGCCGACCCCCGCCTCCAGTCGCGGTACTTTCCCCCTAGGCCGCTCGGGAGTTGTTGAGGTTTAGGGCTCATTTGTTCGTGTGGTGGCCCCCTGCAGGGACGGGCGATCGGCGGTGGACTTGGCCCAGAGCAACAGCGCCATCCTGGCAACCTTGCTTGAACAACAAGCCCCGGCAACAGCTACGTTACACTGAAGAAATCACAACACAGATGGAATTACATAGAAATGGATGTTGTTTCTATATGTTTAGAAGCATACACACAACACCATGTGCCGTTTCACTTGCTCAAGGGCAAGAATATCATGGCACTGGTGAAGACATGCATAATTCCTTCACAAATTCATCTGCTTGCAAAGGAATAGGGAAAATCTGGTACCACCACCCATGACTTTCAAATCTTCCTCCTCAACCTTGAATGTCAGCTCCCCATGGATGCACTCTTCATCATGGACAATGCATCCATTCACCACACCAACAAGATTCATCACAGAAGACAAAACAAAATATACCAAATAAAGACATACCATGAGGCAAGCGTCATCAATCCAGCACTTGCCTCATACTTGTCACAGCAAGCTTCCTTTGCATCTCCACCTTTGTCTGCTTCTGCTTGTGCAGGAGAGGAGTAGCTTATGCAGTTGTACATTGAAAAGTTGTGACATGCTCCTTGTCCAGGTCAAAGGCCAAGTAAATCTGGCATGAAGAGCCACCTTTAGAAGTCATTGATGGTTATGTGTTCTTGCTAGCAGCCATTCAAGCTGCTACCAGTACTTCCAGCATCAAGTGGGAACCATGGACAAGGAGGGGCCTTCCATTGCTCTTGACTTGACAACAAGCAACTGTGGATGGCTAAACCATGTGTGAATGTCCACATCAGCTACAAGAACCTTAGTACAGCTCTCCCTCTCCCTAACACCCTCCATTCCCACGCGCAGAGTGATTGGTGATAGATGTATGCAGACTCTGCCGCACGTTGTGACCTGTTGAGGATAGTCGCTGCTCGAGTCTCACGTACTTGTGTTGTATAAAGTTGCACATACACGCGGAAACTGTCCACCTTCCATCCACCAGGTGCGCGGGTGGACAACATGGTCTTTTCACCGTCTACCGCTCAATTCAAGTCGTGGCGTGAACGGCGAAACGGTGTTTTTTAAAAAAAAACAGGTTTACAGAAAAGCTGACGCTAGGGGTACTTGGCCAACAAGGCAGCGAACTGGGGCTGCCTCTCGATCTCCTCGTAGACGGCGTTCAGCACCAGGAGCTTCGGACCGAGTTGGAAAGCTGCGTTGTCCGACTTGTGGTCGACGTTGTCACCGTAGGTCGGGTGGTCGTCCTGGGACTGGAGGAACCGCATCGCGCCTGGATCGTCGCCCATCCTTACGAACAGGATGTTGATGCGGTCACCACCGGGATCGCGCTTGTATATTTCGTTCTTGATAAACGCCTCGACGGCCGCCGTGTCGTCCGGGACTCCGTCGGTGAACACGATGTAGAGGAAGTTCTCGACGTCGTTGAGCTCTTGCAGGGACGCCTGGAAAGCCTTGTGCATGGCCGTCGTACCTCCGGGTCTGTACCTTCTCGCGTTGGCGAGGAGAATGTTGGGGTCCTCCACCTCGAGACGGACAACGTCGTGGTTGAAGAAGTAGACCGGGAGCTTGCGGTCGGTGTCGAACTGGATGAGCTCGGCGGTCATGCTCTTGAGGATCTTGATCAAGTTGTCGAAGCGAGTCCACTTGCCACGGCCCAGGAGACCGTCACGACCGACGCCATCGGGGTCTACGTCGCATTCCTCCATCGAGCCAGAGATGTCTACCAGAAAGATGAGCTGAAGGTTGTAGAGGTCGGTCTCCTTCGCGTCGAGGCCGCTCTTGATAAAGTTGGCTTCCTGGTTTATCTGAGCAGGCCGAGAGGTCTCGAATTGGCTGGGGTTGAAGGGGAAGGCTGGCTGCTGGGTCATGTTCGGTGTGTACTTGGTTGGAGAGAGTTGTGATGCAGTGTTTGGGAGAGAGTGGGCCTGTCCATTTAACTGCACAAATTCACCCCAACACCGTTGCCATTGGTTGCTGTTTGATAGGTGACGTTCCCAACAGCAACGGTTCCCATTTTTCCCAACAGTTCTTGGACTTTTATAGAACTTTGCAGTTTCTCGGTAAGAGGCAATTAAATGCGCCCATTAACCTTTTTGGATGGATGCGTGTAACCCCTACGGTGTTCACCTGAGCGACAAAACGTCGCCCACCTGGAGTGCAGAAGACAACAAGGAAGAAGCCGACATGATGGTCAAACTGTTGTTGGGTGAGGCCTCACTTGCGGTTACCGAACACTGGAAACGTGGCGCCCTGTTGAGAATTCAGCCTAAAAATCAAACCTGCAATTCGCTGCAAGAAAGAGGTGAGGTGCGCACCGATCCATCATAGATTGCGCTCCGCCTCGGCGCGGGCGTCGCTGAGAGCGCACAGCCACAGGTTGTCGCCCGGTCGCACGAAGGCATGCGGTCGGTCGGCCATCGGCTGCTTGCTGAGCCACACCAGGCCCTGCATGATCAGCTCTGCGTAGTCCAACACATAATGACACAACACACAACACACGGTACCACCGTCAGTGCGGGTGTCGCATATGCTGTGAGTGTGTGTGTGTGTGGGACCTGCAGCAGGCTCCTCCTCGTCAATGACGGCAGCGCCGGGAGGCATGGTGAAGGAGGTGACGACAAACGTCACGGGTCCCGCATAAAACGGGCAGTGGTGCCCTGGGCGCTCCAAGAGCGGAATCTGCCGCGTGCCGAACCCGATTGACCCGAGTGTTGTCCGTCAGCACGCAACACGCAAGGCACTCACGGCACTCACGCAAGACACACGCCACGATTAAACACACCTTGAGGCGCTCGAGAATGCGCGCGGGACCAAAGCCGGGCGGCGCGTTGATGAGGTGCAGATTGACGAACAGGCCGTCCTCGAACTGGCCCTTGCCCTCGCCCAAGAACCCGTGCAGCTCGCGGAACACCTGTTGCGTTGCGTTGTGGCGTGCGTGTGCGTGTGCGGTAGTGCGTGAGGCGTGTGTTGTTGCGTGAGAATGCACTTGATGGGTCCATCATTCATTGCTCTATGGTGGTGGGCAGATGAAGAGGACCTGTTCCTGGTAGTCCGGGTCGGCCATGCGTTCGCAGTCGATGGCGTAGATCGCGTGCAGTCGCGTGTACCTCTTCCCGTTCCACTTGAGCCAGTTACCGATCTTCAGCCCACGAAAGTGGACCGCCACAGTGTACTCTGGCGGCTCCTCGTCGTCGTAGTTGGCCGGATTCGCCTCCTCGCCGGTTTCTTGCGCCGACCGGTTCCACCAATTCCTGCAATCACCACCATTTTTTTAATTTAAAAAAGAATAATATTATTACTTATTAGGATTATTAATTAATTAATTATCAATACAGGGGGGCCAGAAAATACCTGGGCCGACGCACGGCGCAGATGTTGGTCCAGCTGGACTTGTCCCACTTGTGGGCTGGCGGGACGCAAATGCGCAGCACCCGCGCATTGCCTGCACACAATTTCAATTATTTAAATAGAAATTATAAATTAAATTATAAATTAAACAAACACATCACGCGCGAATCGATTGTCGCACCGGCGGGACTAGTGACGTCGACATTCTCGATCACTGACGGCAGCGGCGGGTCCTCCATGTTCCACGACCCCATGTACCGCAGCCTGCCTGGCCAAGACCGTCGTGCAACAGTGCGGCCGACGTTAGTTCGCTGCCTAAGCTCGCCACACGGCTGCCGTGCGGGGGCGGAGGAGTACTCGTTTACGCACCGGAGCAGATGCCCTGCTTGATGGTGTCGATGATGGCCGACAGGCGCGCGAACGACGTCTCGCCCGCCACCAGCACGCCCCACGCGCAGAAGGTCTGCCACGTCTGCACCATCTCCCCCATCCTGATCGATCGATCGCCGATCACATCAGCCACACGTGCACCGCACACGACAAGAAGGGCGGCGGCTCCGAACCGTTTGTAGGCGCGCTTCCATCCGCCGCCCTGTCGCCCGCAGCTGTCCGCGCCTCGCTCGCCGCGCACAAAGGCCAGCAGCGCGCGCCGCGTCGCCGTCTCGCTCTCATCGTCGTCGTCGTCGCTGCCGCTCGGGCGCGCCTCTGCGGCGGCGACCGAGTGGACGAAGGTCTCGAACACGGCGACGGCCGGCATGTCCAGCCATGCATTGGCGCGCGGCGCCTCCACCTCCTGCGCCGCAGTTGGTCGGTTGCGAGTGGTGAGAGCGCGACGGTAGGAGGGGTGGTCGGGCGGGGGGGGGTACGTGGTAGGGGTGCGGGCCGACGTGTTCGCCCCAGAAGTCGGACCCGAAGCGACGCAGGAAGAGCGTGGCCCACACGGCATCAGCTTCGGCCTCCCTCGCCATCGCGCGGCTCGTTTGCGCCACCTGCCAGGCCAGCCACAAAAGAGCACAAGATAAATATTCTCTCCAATAACTTAATTTTTGTGGGCAGGCAGTGAGGGGTGGTCGGTCGGGGGCAGGGGGTACGTTGGCGAGGTCGCGGGGTTCAAGGTGGAGCAGCACGCACGCGCGCACGTTGTCGTCCAGTCCCGCCATGTTGTCGTGGCCGCCTTCATCGTTCTCGTCACGTTGAACTATCTTTGAGTGGCACGCTCAAATGTCGGGGC